AAGCTACTGAAACACCAGCATCAGACTTTAATGAAATGCCAAATTGCTTAAAAGATGGAGGTAGCTAGTCAGCATTGAGGTTGTACAGACATAAAAAGATTCAGAAATACTAACAAATACCTCAGTGTCAAGAGGATGAAGGCAGGACATACTTAGTACAGGGCCCTCAACTTTGGAATTCCCCTGCACTCGTGCCAATGCCTCAGTTTGGTGAGCTTCCAGGCACACTAAGGCCTACTTAGAAATTCTCACTAAAGATGTGTAGGTTGAATTGTGAGGGTCCAGTTTTTATTTTTACCTTGATATGACTGGAAGAGAAGGAAATAACCCCATCATTTTGCTGTGCTGTATTAATTTAAATTGATCTGTGTCTGTATGTTCACTTGATTTGAATACAAACAAAATACATATCCAAAGGACTAGGCACCCATACATAATCAAAATCACAATCCATGTAAAAAACAAACAGCAACGGCAGATCAGAGGCCAACCCCGCCACTACCCAAAAAAAACCCACCGATCCCCAACTCAAAACCTCTAATGCATTCAAGACCGATGACACTAAGAATGCAACAGATCACCAAACCCCCCACATTACTCAGGCATCTCCAAATGCCTACACAAATAAATGCAATTTGAAGTATTCTGAGGGTCAGCAAATTTGGACTATTTTGGACCAGGGAGTGGAAAGGAAGCAAATTTTGTCATGGGAAACACTAGCTGAAATGGTTGCACTGACTGGAACTGTGCCAGTATTACAGGGGGAGAGGGATGTTTTAAAATGTTGTGTTTAAATGTATTATTAAATCTAATAAACACTGAGTTGCCAAAAAAAAAGTCTCCCTACTTAGCTTAACTTACAATTTGTCTTAATATGAAAAAAAATAAAAGCTAAAGACCTAGCTCAATAGGCTCCAAAAGTGAACTGTAAAAACAATAGTATTAATTAGAACACCTAGTTCTTCTTTTACTGCTCTAGCAATTTGTACTGTAGTGGTTACCTTTCCTTGCTAGAAGTGTTTGCCACTGTCAAGTCACAGCCCTAATACAATACAAATTATAAAGCACTGCACATATGATTTTATGGGGTGTGCTGTTTTACAACTAGGACGACGCTTCTCATGCTGGTGGTAAGAGAGAAACTGTCAAATTGAGTGAATATTGGAATTAAATAAATAAGAAACATTTAGAAAGATCACAGTCATGGCCAACAGACTTCGCCTTTCTTTTGAAATTAACTATTCAACTGCACTGTAAGCAATTGACCAAATAATAAAATAATAAAAAAAACCATGCAGAAGTCCAATTCTGCTCCCAAATTTACTCAAGAAATTCAAGTAAGTGGAAGTTCTGGGAGCATATCTGGACCCTGAGTGCTGAGATTCTAATGATATCCTCCTCTGTGAAGTGGAAATAGAAGAAACTGAAATCATGAAAGCATGCTTTGCTCAAAGTCAACTTTTACACCAGGAGTCTGGGTAATAGACAAAACAATAGAAGTGTGTCCTAAATGTAATTAAGACACAGATGAGATATTGTGTAAGTCAATCATGACAATATTGACATGTCACACACTGTAGGAATCACAAAATAAGAAGTTTTAAGAAAACATTCATAATTAAAATTTGTTTAAACTTTGTAAAGTTCATACTTGTGCTGTGCAGAACTTGAGAAGCTATAATTAGTTTCAGATTTACAATTGTAAATCATTAGTCTGTGATTGCAGGTAATACTATTTAACATTTACTTGACATTTGAGATCCATGCTGGTAAAGAGGATTTTATTGCAATAATCTGATATTCCTGGTTAATTACAATATATTCAAATTAAAGCTATTCTATGATTGGAAGCTGCATTCTCTTTGGAAAGTGAAAACATTACCATGAAATAGGAATGGGGAATTTCAAGAATGTTCTCAGGATAAATAATGTCATTTGCACTGGTTCTGACCATAGACAAAGCTAAGACACCATTCAACAACTGAGATTTAACCCTTTTTTAAATAAACAGTACACATTACTATGGAGATAGCTTGCAGAGATTCAATTTCCTGGCTTTGTGACACTGGGACTTAAATAGAGTATGAGAGTAACAAACTGAAGTCACAGTCCCCATCTTCGGATGTCATACTATACCCGAAACAGAAAGGTTTGGTAGGGTAAGGGACACTAAAAGGTGTCAGAAAATAATCCAATCACTTATCCAAGTGTCTCTTTAAATTCTGCTTCACTGCAAGTAATTCTGTCAATTTCACCCAGATTGGTACAGACATACACTATGTACCTATATATTCATATATAATTATAGCCAGGAGAACAATCACTACCTCAAAATCTTATCCCAAGGTTAAGCTCTGCTATTATAATTTGCTGTGTAGTGCTTTAGAGCTGCTGTTCAGTACAGACAAAAGGCAGAGTGCTTAGTACACCTGACTGTAGCTTAATGAAAAACTGACCAAAAAAAAAAAACCCAAAATCTCATTTCTCATGTAAATCTCAAATAAAAGGAAAACTAAAATACAAGTGGCACATCCCTTCTTAAATTCTGCATTCATATTTATATAAGAGGTTCAAAATTAATCAGAATCTCCTACTTTCCCTAAGGACATTTGCTATTATACTCCTAGCCAGTTTCAATATTTTACAAATAGCCAATACATGTTCTTAATTTCAGATCTTTTTGAGATTCTTTGTTTAGCTTTTCAAAAGGGAGATGGAGAGATTTTAAGGGTTTTGTTTTTTTTTCATTATTGCATTTTACTCTTATACAGATGCTAATCCACTAAGAAATGTGACCAGGGCCAAACACAGAACATCAACGTATTTAAAAATACCCACTTACTTATTTGGAAAGGAAGGGCATTCCTCTCAGATGCCACTCATAGCTGCAGCAAACACTTTTTGAAATTGAGAGGTAATGTTACATAAAATACACACACACAAACTTCACACTTTGGGGGCGAAAAGTATTCAGTGTGTCATACAAGCTTTCAAATGAACTACAATAGTTGATCTGGCTTTATTCAAAACACAGCAAAATACTGAATGATCTATGGACAGACAGAAGTGGAAATAACTTACACAGAATAAAAACGAAATTACAATGCTGAAACGATAAAAGATCCCTGTTGGAAGGCCACTCTTTACTAGAAGGCTGAAGTCTTGCATGAGGATTGAGTTTCATTGGTAGGTGACCACAGGGCAGTTTTTAAGCAGGTATGTCAGGACTAGTTTGTGAAGGATAAGTCTCACTTTGTTTTCAGATGAGGGGAAGACTACAATAAGTGTTGCAATTCCATGTGTAACTTCATCCTGTCCATCCTTTCTCTCTCAATTTTAAAAGGAAGAATCCTTTATAACAAACATCTCTAACTCTATTCTACCCCTACTATCATAAACCCACCTGACTCTTGCACATACAAGTGCCGATTCTCTATAAAGGCCTAGCAAACCAACAGACTTTAAAATTTTATTAAGATGATGTTAAAAAAAATTGTGAACAGAGTTTGAGCATAGAAACTGGTCTGAGTGATAGCCTTTACTGACAACATCTCCCGCACCCTCTCTCTAAGAGTATCGTTAGCTCTCAAAACACAAGTTTCCTATAAACTCCAATCACATAACAAACAACTTGGTTCCCAAAGTGTGCTTTGGAGTGGGAGCACTGTACTGTGGATAAAACAGGAAAGCTGGAACAGAAGGTCAAATACAAGTTAGTCATTCCAACATTACACTAGAATGACTTCTGTAGAACTAAAAATCAAACAGAAAGCTAGACACTTAGTTTAACATGAATCTGTTCCACTGTTCTGAGAAAGTTGCAGGGCCCACACCATGGATAGACAGACTGTAGGAGAACATGTTTGCTCAGCCACAAACTTCAGTTACAACAACAGTGATTTATCTGAGGGAATTCTCCCAAGATAGAAACGGACAGATGCAAGAACTCTTCTCCTTCGCAAGCTTCACATAGAATGGAAAATGGAAAAAATCCAGGAACAGTGTTCATGGAATTTTTGAGAGAGAAATGCTTTAAAAGCCCAAGTAACAACATAACACAACATACATCAGATTACAATGGATATAAAGATAAATGATTCCCTTTTGGAGATGCAATGACCTCAGTATTCCTGCACAAAATAAACCCAATCTACTGATAACAAAATGAAGAGCAATGATGAAGCAAGTCAAATATTTTCAACTATAAAATTGGTACTGGTTGTAATGAATACTAAGGGCAGCTATGCCAAACCATCTGTTGTAGACAGTAACAAAAAAAAAAAAAAAAAAAGAACCCTGAATTAACTAGGTGAAGAGAATAACACGCTAGAAAGGATTTTTACACCCAAAGAACTTATTCCAGGACTGCCTGGCTCTTAGAAAAGGATCCCACCACATGGGAGGGGAGATTGTTTTTCCAGTGAGACTAGTGCAGAGTGGACAATGATTAAACCAATTGATAGAAAAGCAGGCACTTCCCCAGCCCCCAGGCTAGGTGCAGGGTCCACTGGGCCTGTGGGTGACAGCCCCAGAGCCCTTACATAACCAGTTAACTAGTTCAGCTACAAGGAACACGGCATCATGCACCAGCCCCACAAGTGGCTAAGCAGGAAACACCTGGATACAGCAGGGCAGGGGGGAGGCAGGGCCGAACCTGGCCCCGAGGAAGGGGATTTAGGGGCTAGGAAGGCAGAGCTGTGTGTACCCAACCCGCCCGGGAAGGACGGGGGGGGCAATGGACCAAGACCAGGTGCACCCCAGGGGGTGAGGAGCAGCGGTCCGGGGGGGCGAAGGGGCATGGCGGGACCAGGCAGGTTCCGGGGGGTGGGGCCAGGCCCGCCCCGGTGCCAATGGCAGCGGAGCGGGGCCGGTCCCGGCCCGTCAGGGGGTGAGTGAGGCGGCCTCGCCCCCAAGGGAGATGGGGCGGGGCCCGGGGCGGGGAAGTGGGGCCGGGCGGGCACTGGGGGCCAGGCCCGGTCCGAGGGGGGTGGCGGACTCACCTGGGCGCACGGTCTTGAGGCGCACGGGCTCCCTGAAGTGGCGGATGACGGCCAGGGTGTCGCGGTGGGTGAGGCCGCTCACGGGGGTGCCGTTCACCTCCAGCAGCACGTCCCCGGGGCTAGGGGGCTTGCCGGAGAGCAGCACCGGGCCGGGCCCGCCGAGCTCCCCCAGCAGCAGGCGGCCCCCCAGGTAGGGGAACTCGCCGAGCTCGGCGCCGCCCCGCAGCAGGTCGGGGTCGGGCGCCCCGCCGGGCTGCGGCGGCCCCCAGGACACGGCGCACTCCTGCACCTTGCTCAGCCAGTGCC